ATATAAAAAAAAAGTTATAGATGAATTATAATAATCTCTTTAAAAATTAAATATATATCAAATAAATAAAAAATTATTATTATTATTTAAAAGAGCCTAAATAAACAAAATAAAAGAGAGAGGGGGTATTAATTTAAATAAAAAATAAAAAATTATTTAAAAAAACATTAAAAAGCTATAAATAAAAAAAATGTGAATCATTGCTGGGCACGACAAATCAGGCAAGCACGCCTAGCTAATTTATTAATGGCTCATATGAGGGCCTTTCAATTTTTTTTTGGCTCCACCCTAATTTTTTTACAAAAAACATTATGTAAGACAACTTGTCATTTGATTTTGTCTAGATGTTGGCTATTGTGGTAGCTGAATAATCAGGACCAAATGTTTTTTCACTCAAAAACTTATTTTTCAATGTATTTTTTTATTACCTAAAAAACCTATAAAATACTCTAGATATCTTGATAAATCCATCCATAACCTTAAAAAACCCAAACAACTATCACAAAATTGAAAATCAATCTAAAATAAAAAATATATTCATGAGCTCAAATATGTTTTTCAAACGCTTTCAAGATAAAGAAAAAAAACACTTAAGTTGAATTTCGCTCATTAAATAGAATTATTTTACATAAAAATCAATCATTTTAGTAGTTGGAATCAATCTCAGTATCATCTCTCTCTCTCTCTCTCTCTCTCTCTCTCTCTCTCTCTCTCTCTCTCTCTCTCTCTCTCTCTCTCTCTCTCTCTCTCTCTCTCTCTCTCTCTCTCTCTCTCTCTCTCTCTCTCTCTCTCTCTCTCTCTCTCTTTTTCTACCGCTAGAATCTAGCAATCTTCCTTTCTCATCTCTCCAATCAGGGACTAAAAATGAATTTTTATACCAAAATTGAATTCAAAGATATTGAGAAACCAAATAGGCATAGTCTGTAAAGTTTGAGGACTAAATTTTTTTTTTTTGAAAACTTTAAGACCATTGCCCATTTATGATGCCTTTTCCACTTTGATCCCCCATCTTTCAATTTTATTGTTAGTCAACAAATTTGAATCAATTGTCCTTTATTTTGACCTTTAAAAATTGTAATCATGCCAAAAAAAAAAAATTAAGAATCAAAATTTAAAAAAATAAGAAATTTTGAATAAGGCATCATTATTAAAATGTGAGAGCATGAATAGTATATATGTATATTAAAATACTTGCACCTTTTAGTGTTTTCTATAACTAGTTTATAATGTTTGAATTAAAAAAATTTATTGTTATACATGTCATGGAGAATTATTTGACCTTGTTACTAAACTCGGGTCATTTCATTCACCTTAAAACTTTGACTAGATTAGATTTAAAATTAAATTATGTGTAAGTTGCCTCGTTATGACTTGATAAACTTGACTAGACCAAAACTAACTCAAGTGATTGATACAAGTATTTTAAGGATGGGATTAAGAGAGAAAAAAATAAGGATGAAATTGGGGGAAAAAACATCTCAACTCAACTCAACTCCTTATCTAATTCAAGTTTAAAATTAAACATAATGTGACCTAAACGACATGGTAAGTTTAAAGGAAACCTGACAAAGAAGTAAACAAATTATGAGAGTGAAATTGAGAGGAAAAAAAAACCCTATTAACTAAACTCATTTCCTAACCTGAGTTTAAAATTAAATTATACTGGAGTTTTTCAGTCAACTACCAATGACAACCCATCAAATATTAAAAAGAAAAAAGTTTCATGATGAAATAGAAAAAAAATTAAAAAAAATGAATTTAAAAAAAAAGCTTTACTATTTAAATAAATAGTGAAACTCTATTAAACATGCCAAATCTTTTAGTATAAAACTTGTTTAGTATTTGCGCTACGTTGAGGATAGGACCAATATCTTTTTTAACATAAAAAAGTATCTAAGCTATATAAAATTCTTTTTCTATTATCATTAAACCTAGGACAACAAACTAAACTTAAATACTTTTTATTAGACTCTTTACCTATCTTGGGATTAAAGTTCAATCGTACGGGAATTGCAATATGACCATGTTAATTTGGCAAGAAAAAAAAATAGCCAAGGTTAATTTATTACTCGAGTTATAGACTTCACTAAATTCAATTATATTTTTTATTATTATTATATGATAAAAAATAAAAAAACTAATTCAAAGTCAAGAAAATATTGAATGATAAAATTGAAAAGAAAAAATATTAAATAAAAATCCATCATTGAATGATGAAATTAAAAAAAAAAGACAAAAAAAAAAAAGTATGAGTGTGTAAGCTTAAGTAACCTAGCATGCCTGGGCTTTTTTAAATTAAAAAAAAAAACAACAAGAAGAAAAAGACTGAGGGTGTGGGTGTGGGCACAAGAAAATAGAGCATGGGTGTGTGAACTTGAGTAACCTAGCATGCCTGGGCCTTTTCTTAAAAGAAGAAGAAGACTAAAGGCGTGAGGCTTGAACGCATGCTTGATCCAATATCTTTTTTATTTTTCAATTGGTGGAAGACCTATCATCTGCTTCCTTTTTAATCACTGGTGGAGGGTCTGCTCAAATTCTAGCTACCACTATAATGATTGAAAAATTAGGAGTGGGGTTATGGGCCTAAATCCTAATTTCAAGTTATTTTTACCTAAAAACATTGTAAAATCCATTATAAACCACCTAATAACCCTAAATACCGTAAAATCATTCATAAAAATTAAATTCAACCAAATAAAAAAAATCTAAATCGAACTCGATCTCCTATTTTAGGGATATTTAGAGAAAAAACCACCACTATTAAACTTTCATCGTTTAATGAAACTAATTGACACCTAGAACGACAAGATTCATTAATTAAAAGTGGTCAAACTGATAACTTTCTCTCTTCTCTCTTAAAGTTGAGGATTAAAAAATGAAAAATATGAACTGTTAGATCAAAATAAAAATTATCAATATTTTGGGATTAGGTACTTTTCTCTTCATGTTTAACATTTTGATCTTATTTCTTTTAATTTAATATATTTACCATAATTTTAAGTCTAATTTCATTTAATTAATTCATAGAAGGATTCAATTAAAAAAAAAGATTTAAAAATTTCAAAAATAAAATAAAATTAAGTTGTTTTAGTGTTCATATAAACAATGAAACACACGAGGTTATACCTAGATCTTTTAAGTAAAGGTAATAACTTTCATGACCTTCTCACCCTAGAATAGTTATTGCCTAGACAATTTAAAAGAATTAGGGTTTTTATAAGTGTTTTATTATCTATATAAATAGTGACGCATCTTATATGTTTTAATCATTTTATTCCAATTTCATGTCGTAGCAATAGTGGTTAGCGCGTGAGAGATTAAGATGAGGTTGTGGCTTTGAATCCTTCAGTGGGACGTACATGTTGGCTAAATTGTGATAGCCAACTTGTCAGCTATCACTTTTTTTCAAAAAACAAAAGTGAATAACATTTAGTTTACCCTTTTAATACAATAAAAATTAAAGCGGTGCCAAGCACGTAAGCTTGGCCTCCAAGTCTACGCACACTTGACTTACTATTAACAAGCCAAACACTAGGCTTAATTCTTTTTTTTCTTTTTTCTTTTTTCTTATTTTTCTTTGATATTTTTACACTTCAAAAAAAAAATTATTAGATTCACTTATTTTTCAATTTTGACATGGATCTTAAATACTATTATAAATATTTATTTGAATATTTATTTTTTAAAAATTATAATATTAATAATAAATTGGTTATGAAAATCCAATTGAAATCGTTTTTTTTTATTATTAATATTTATAAATAGATTTTAAACATAATTTATTATATTTATGATTTTAGTCACATTAAATATGAACATGCTACTTTAAGATTATTTGTTAACTTGCTTTAATGACCATAAAATATATTTTTTTAAGAGAAGCAATGATTATAATTAAAAATACTTTATTGATTAAGATAAACAACAAAAATATTATATATATATATAATATTTTTGTTGTTTATCTTAATATTATATATATATATATATATATATATATAAAATCCAAGAGATGTATATAAACTCCAAGGGATGTGTGTGTACATATTTTTTTGAAGTGCCGTAATTTTTCTTCTGATTCCTTCCGTATTCAGACAAAATCACTAAACAAGTTACAAACTAGTGACTTCTAAAGTGACACCATGTCTAATCAGTTAACATGCTTATAAAGTGATTCGCACTCAAATTCTAAAGCTTTCTAAGGGATATATCATTAATGTGGAACTTCCGTCAAATTCAAAATTCCTTTCTAATCTCCATCTTTTTACAAGGGTAAGATGTTTCATCGCTGTCCCTTTATCATTGACTTTAAGTGCATAATGACAAGATGCATTAACTCTTAAATTAAAAATAAAAATTTCCCATCCAATAGGAGAAGGAGAAGGAGAAGAAGTTGAAAGAACAGAGGCCGGGTTCATTTTCCTAGACGTTCCATCCATCCATCGTAGAGTTTTGCTAATCTAGATAGATTTGGATTTGTTTTTCATATTTTATCTGAACAACTAGGGTTTATACATCCAATTACACAAGACAGCCAAATAAAATATATATTTCTTTGATACATTGACATAAGCTTATTTTTAACGACCACCATGTATAACAACATAATGGATTCGAAGTCATATCGAACATGTTCCTCTGTCTTGTTCGTGGAGGTCGGTCCACATTAAATAATAATCCTTCTTCATATTTTAACCTGATACCTTACCTTACTACCAACAACAAGAACACATGAGGCTGGATGGACACAACTAAGGGTTCTGTAAACCTTTGTCTGGCAGCTTTGACATAGAAAAAAGTGCTGTCTGGCTACTCTGTAAACCTTTGTCTGGCAGCTTTGACAAAGAAAAAAGTGCTGTCTGGCTATTGGACCTGCTCGAACGCAAGAGTTTGGTAGCCTGTGCCCACTACGAAGAAGAGTTCAATAAATAATGGCCCAGAAAACAGAGGGAGGTAGTTGAGAGAGGAGCAAAGAGAGATGTCGCTGCATAAACACTCTATTTGGCTGCTCCAGCAAACTTTCTTACATAGATTATAACTATATTAAGAGGCAATTACCAAAGCGCAGTTCACAGATATTCACTAAAACGCGGTGCTAAAGTAGGTCTTAGCGACGTTATTACACAGGATTTGCTGCACCTTGTTGTTCATGGGCCCAACACAACGCGGTGTTTTAAACTGACTAACAACAGTTCCTAATCCTAGGTAGTGCTCCAAAATCTTCAGGAAGGTTCCTCTCCAAACGACTCGGAGCTCGAGGGGTCCAATGGTGTTGAACTTTCGTGAACTGACATAGCCTGCATCAACAAAGGATCCGTCCAAGCAATTGCAACACCCTTGCAAGACCTCCTCGCTAGCTTCGCCACTAATTTCCAGAAAGATAACATAGTGGCCAGGGTGTGTGGATACATCAACCAGACTGCTGAAGTCAACTACTTCAAGTTTTTCCTCAGCTAACAGCTTGCCAGCTTCTTCCACAGATAGCTGCAAATCTTTCTCGGTGTTCTTATCAATGTTTATGGAAAGAATAAGGTTCCTCCTGCATACAAATTTAAGCTCTGGGGTTGAGTTATGGAAGCCCATAACCCTCACCACATCTCCCAGCCTGTACCTGTACAACCCTGCAGTTCACAATCAACATCAAAATTAAATAAAGAAGTTCTCCCATGGTTTGGACAAGCTTTATTTTCAATCACATAACAAAATATGTCACATTGACATTGAATGATTCAATTTGCTATTTTTTAGATAAAGAAAAACGTTGGCAGGTCGAAGTTCAGCAAAAGATTACAAAGAATAAATACTTGCAGATCCAGGAATTAATTTTTCCCCTTCCAATACCTAAAATGCAAGACTTCTAGTAACATTTTAATAACCCACAAGTCACTTTTGTTTACTTTTGTTTTTAAAGTGTATGTGATAGAAGCTGTTTTTTAAAATGTTTTAATTTAAAGAAAAAAAATTAAATTTTGATAAAAAAAGGATTGCACCCCACAACCTTAAACAGGGCTAAAGACTATAAAACAAAAACATCATGGTGTTTTTTTAATTTTAATTTTTTTTATTGTTTTAGATCATTTTAATAATATGATGATATCTAAATAAATTTTGTTAATATATTTATAATAAAAATAATATTTTAAAAAACAATCTCTATCCTACTACCTTCCAGATTTAAATAACGTGCGCAAAGAAGACAACAGAGAGTCCTCACCCAAGCTTAGACGTATCAACAGATAAAGCAAAGTTCTGTACTCACCCAAGCTTAGACGTATCAACAGATAAAGCAAAGCTTCTGCACTAGTGAATTAAAAAATTGTTCAAAAGAATGTAAATGACGGGGCTATTGGCCTGTTCTGGATAGGCATTTATATAATGGAACGGAGCTTCAATCTTCAATTCATCTCAACATTGTGGATACGCAGCATGCACTTATTGACCCCAACAAATAATTTCAAAGAAGAAGTAATCTAAGAGTAAAAACTGCGAGTACCTGCAAAATTGGTGACGACGATCTCATAATCTTCGCCAATCTTGACTTCAGTCAGACCCACTGGCTTGGGCTCCTTATACATGCACTCAGCGTTGCCCAGAAGAGGAATGAATTCAAAATATCCAATATTAGGAAGTACAGCAAAGGTAGCCAACTCAGGAGGCAATTTTGGATTGACATTCGCTGCAATCCACCCTTCTGAAGAACCATAATCAGCACTCATCAATGGCAGCTCCCCTGCATAGTGCCTCAATTTCTTCAGATAAGGCTCCATTGACCCTGTCATTATCCCATAGATGTACTTAGCATTGGGGAATAATTCTGGTATTAAACCATACCAATTACTCAATCCTGAGCATTTTTTATAGATTAAATCAGCCAATTCAGGGTTTGGCCTAAGCAGTTTCTGCATTGCCATGTTTACAGAAAGGGCAGTGACTCGGCTGCTTAGTTCCCCTTCACGTATATCATTGCAGAGCTCCTCCCAGACTTGTTCAAATGTAAGGAATGCAAGGACAATGCTATGAGCAAATGTAGAGAACACAAATTGAATTTCCTCGCGAAAGAGTAGCCCGCATAAGAGATGGCAGTATAGTGATTGGTGGAAATCAGGACCAAATATTACTTCATCAGGGCTGCAGCATTGGAACTGAATTGCCTTCATTCCACTTTTGTATTTCGAATTGCGGAAGAGATTTGTCGTGGCAGTTCCTGCACCTAAACCCCCTTTTGTTTTCCATGGCTTGCTGCTGTAGACAAACTGTAAGGATTTCCCCTTCTCCAGTGGAAATTCTCTGCATTATACAATCCTCCTTGCGTCAACAGCGAGCCAATAACTGAAACTTGTTTTTTAATTATTTACAACAGATAACAGAAACCATATTGTCCAACAAAGTAGTCTCATCTTCTAGCGAAAATATAAAAAGTTCTGTATAATGGGGGGGGGGGTTGGACAAACTAAAAAGCTATTCTAATACAAGACGATTCCTTGCTAATACCTGTTTCTGAAAGCAAAAGAAGTTCTATATATCTGCAAGGTGTTTTCCATCAATTCATCGTTGAAAGGTACAAACTTTCTCTTCCCCTGGGTAGTGCCAGAACTGCAAAAATTCAGATTTTCTCGAAAATTAGAAGCTACGCTTACAAGATTCCAAAAACAATTAATTGAAATCATGAAATATACATACCTCAAAGACATGTCTGTTATGGGTTTCCCGGTGAGAATGGAAGAAGAATCACCTTCAGCAATTCTGTGAATATAAGCTTCCAAGTCTTTGTGAGTAACAAGAGGAACACAAGACTTGAAACTCTCAGGGTCAGTCTTTCCATTAAGACCCAAATTCTGCAAATACTCAGCAGATCCATTCTCTTCCAAAATCTTCTCCAGAGTTTCTCTCTGAACCCTTCCAGCATCTTTAGTCAATGCTTCAAATTCCTCTATCACTTTATTAGTGTTAATTCCTTCCATTTTTTTCTCTAGCATCCTCACTTACCCTTTAGAAAACTGCAATCAAAACATGAAAAAGAAAGAAGAAAACATATTTTAGCAGTCATATAATAATAGTACAGTAAAGGATAAATGATCAAGATCAAGCTTCTACAATTGTTATCATTAAATAAAACGACAAATAAGGTTGGTCCTCGGTACTTGCAAATCAAACCGTGAGAATACACAGAAGGTAGACATGGGGCAAGAAGACAAAAGCTATCTATGGTACATTCACTTAACCAGAAACACTTGAAAGTGCAATGTTTTTAGCACATCACTTGGGAGCAGAAAATACAATGGACAAAAATGGAATTCAATACGTTGAATCTTTCACGGATTACTATTTTGTGTCCCAGTAAATCAAAGACCTCCGACAAACGCAATTTCCAGTTATTCTCAAGTCTCAAACAACCATAATAAAACAAGAGGCAAAAGTCAAAATTTTAGTTTATTTTCTTTATCTCAAAGTTTTTCTCTGCAAATTCAATAAAGAGAAAACATGGAGGAACTCAAAGGTTGGCTGGCTAAGAAGAGATATAGAAAAGAGAGTCAAAATCTATAAGCAGCAGCAGCAGCAGGTTTGTAAAGGAGATAAGATTCACAGGGATAAGTGTAAAGCTTTCGTTCTTCTTTTTGACGATGGTCAGCTATTTGGTCAACTTTCGGGAAATTTCCAGGAAAACGTTTCTTCCGTCGATTGCCATGAAACAAAATGCAAAGGATTTACATGCACAAATGAGCTCAAGTTCCTACATAGTTTCCCGTTACAAAGAATATGAAACAGAAAACAAAACAAAAGGGACTATTTTTGTAAAAGACGAAAAAGAAACAAGAAGAAAGTAAGACAGAAAAAGGAAGACAAAAAATCCATAAGCAACAACAGCGAAAGCCAAAGGTTCTTTTGTGATTGTAAGAGTGAAAATTAAACAGAATCAAGATTCAAGACAGACAAACCAAATTATCGTAAAAAAGGAAATGAAATGAAGCAGCAGCAGCAGCAGCAGAAGAAGAAGAAGAAGAAGAAGAAGAGAGACAATACCTTTGACAGAGAAACAGTTAGTTATTTATAAGGGAAACAACAGGCAGAAGTGGAAGAAGAGAAGTAGGGGGTGTTGTTACTGTCTCGCCGAGTTCTAAGCTATCTTTGTTTTACTCTCTGTCACTCTGCTGCAGGTGTTTAAAACTCAGAAAGACTTTGGAGAGAATGTAAGCTTTGGAACTGGCTATACAGCCAATTCAATTGGTTAAGGAAATGAAATGCTTTGTGAGAGAGAGAGAGAGAGAGAGAGAGTCTATGTGGTTTGTTTTGGGAGTTTTTGATGGGCAGTAGATTCTGTTTTTGGGTGGTCTGTTTTATAGGCAATTTACTATGCTCTACTCTCTAAATGCCTCCCCCTCCTCAACTGCCGTCCACTTCCTCATACTCTTTCCCTAATTCCCATTATCGCCTTTACTTTTCTATTATATTACGAGGAAAAAAAAAAAAAAAACAGTGCCTTCAACCTGGGTGCTTGTCAAATGACGGTTATGGCCTTGGTGAAGTCGAGGAATTGGTTGCCAACTTGCCGTTTCTGTATTATTGCCTGGTGTCGTGTCGTGTGTGGTAACGTGCTATTAGGTTTTTTATTAAAATTGATTTTTTAAAAATAATTATTTTTAATATTTTTATATCAAACCTATTTAGAAATATTTAAAAAATCAAGGTATAGAGGAATTAATTAATTTTTACAAAAATATTTTTCAAGGTGAAAACAAATCAGCCTGGTGCATATTAATTCTACACTATTCCAATGCTGATTCTAAAGTGGGTCCAAACTAAAAGAATGGATTCTAACTTAACATTGAATTTTGATGATGATTATTAGCTTTTTATAAATAAAAAACAATTCCGTAAATTCTCGTTTCGGCGAGTGATTTTTTGGACATCAGTAAGATTTCTTCCCTTTGAGAAATTTTATCTGTAATATTATACTGTATGATCTTAGTTTACTTAATAAAATTCGGACCTTCATGCGATTACCACCTTCCCTTAATTAAGGGCTGAAAAAAATATTAGTACATGCAGACCGTGTCTGCGTTTATATAGAAGTGTTATTAGTGTTTTAAAATAAGGTCAAGATTGTTTTTGGAAATGTTTTTTTATTAATAAATATATAAAAATAATATTTTTTTATTTTTAAAATTTATTTTTAATGTTACATGAAAACAATTCAAAACTATAATAAAAAATTAAAAAAAACAAGATTTAAAAAAAAACAATCCAACGACTTATGCATCTCAATTCCTGCCTACCCATAAACTTCAAACACATGCCTTCCAAATCCGTGTGGCGTGATTGAAAATGGTATCGATTCTATTATTTGAGGTTTGGTTCAAATAAACGGTAAGGATTTTAATTTCTTATGATTTTATTTCACATTTAAATTTTACTTGAGAGTTTATAAGAAAGAAATTCAATGTAAATGCACCCATCGAGCTATCTAAAACCTGCACAAGAAAACCTTAATTTTTAACATGATAAAACTGGTTAGAGAATACTGATAAAATTAAAATTAAAATTAAAATTAAAAATACTGATAGTATTTCTTAACACTAAGGACATTGTAACTAGCAGTAATTATTGTGGCAATTGGCAATCTACTTGTTAATAGCTGTCTCTGAATTACACACACACACGATGGAAGCATTCATGCTGACTCCCACGCCGCGTTGACTACCTAAACTGATGGGGGCATGGTCACTTGGTTGGAGGTATATGGTGGTATTTAAAAATATTATTGAATTTATATTTTTTTTAAATTTAAAATTTATTTTTTATTTTAATTTTTTTTTAATAATTTAATATTGTTTTGATACGTTGATATTAAAAATAATTATTTAAAATATATATTATTTTAAATAAAAAATTAAATTCTAAACATTAACATCACCGGCAATAATAAAAGGATTACATGGTGGGGTTTGTGGCATTTATTGTTGGGTTTGTTTTTAATCAACAACATGGATCCAAAACCTCTAGCGTGTGTGTGTATATGGTCATCGCTTCTACCAATAAATAAAACTTAAGAAATGGGAGTCAAATTAAATTATAATTAAGGTTTAAAAATAATTAAATTGCAATAGATTGAAGAATGTGAAATGGAAAGTCTTCTCTTCTAAATGTTTACCGTCGCCTTCTCAATACGTATCTGAACACGAATTCCATCTAAAATATGTCAGTATTGTTGTTATCCTTGTTAAACAAATTGTTGATCCTTTAATTTGAATTTGACTTGATATAAATATTTTTATGATGACCAATATGGTCAATAATTTATTCTGAGCTTCCATCTAAAATATGTCAGTATTGTTGTTGTCGTTGTTAAACAAATTGTTAATCCTTTAATTTGAATTTGATTTCGTATAAATATTTTTAATTTGAATTTGACTTCGTATAAATATTTTTATGATGACCAATATAGTCAATAATTTATTGTGAGTTATATATTTATTTTATAATGATTCATTAAAATATTTTAAAAAATCAATACATTTGGTTTTTTTTATTTTATAATGATTCATTAAAATATTTTAAAAAATCAATACATTTTGTTTTTTATTTAAAAGAATGTTATATAAATCTTTACTTGAATAATTCTAATTTATTTTTATTGCATCAATTTTCAGTTTATCATTCTCATTACCATTCATAAACTCATATATATTGCTAAAATTAAAAATTGAGTTAATCATCATATCTAACATGATTTTCTAAGAAACATGGAATTCTTTATATGTAAACTAATTTAAATATTTACCATTCATAAACTCATATATATTGCTAGAATTAAAAGTTGAGACGATCATCATATTTAACATGATTTTCTAAGAATCATATTTAACATGATTTTCTTAGAAACATAGAGTTCTTTATATGTAAACTAATTTAAATATTTTTTTATGAACTTTATTTTAAATAAATGCTTCATCACAACATCTTTATAGGAAATTTTTTGTTTATGCACTTGCATACGAACATCTAATTTCATCTTTATTAAATATTATTTAGATTAGAAAAAACAACATTAATAAATCATTAACATCTTTAAAAAAATCTTGTCTATACAATATTTACTGGACTTGTAATGCTTTCAAGAACGATCATTTATTATTTATAAAATCTATATAAAATAATAATGACAATATTTACTAATAATGTAACTATCAATAACAAATTAATTTTTTTATTAAAAATAAATTCATAATCCAATAATTATCAAACACTTTATTTATTGAAACATATTAAATTCTAATTGATATCTTTTTTCACACAAATTCAAATTTCCATAAAAATCTCAACTAAACAATGAATTTTTCTTCAAAAAAAAAATCGATACTCAACTAATTATCCATCACTTATTCAATTCAAATTTATCCAACCTAAATCAATATCTTTTTAGTTATTATTAATTCAACAAAAATAAAATTTCTCTAAATTTTTAACTTAACAATAAAATTAATAAAATATAATTAATACCCATAAAATTACTCATCATTTCTTTAATTCTGCACATCTAAATTATAAAATAAAACTCAATTTCATCAAATAAAAAATAAAATTCATTTCCTTCTAATCTCAAACAAAGTCTAAAACACAAATTATATATTAATACAATAAGATTATCAAGGAAAGAGCTGTAAAGCATTAAAATATGCAAGAAAATTTAAATATTATCAATAAATTAATTTATGTTAGTTATAAAGAAATAGACCATTTGTTTAGTGGAGTAAAGCTTGACAATAAATAAAATTAATAGAGGGAAGTTGATACTAATGACAGCAAATATAGGTCAACGCTAGAGGGTTGGGTAGCCACATTTGTAAAAGGGTGGTTGGATTTGCTAATAAATTATGAAAGAAGGGCTATTATTTTTCTATAAAATGAAGAAGAAAAAGAAAAAATGGTTGAGATAGCATGGACTGTCGGGTTTTAATTTATTTAAAATTTTCAAGGAAATTTCCATTAACAATTATATTGGCATTACTAACATGCTAAATTGCCAATAGAATTTTTATTGCCTTTCTCTATTTTGTTGTTATTTTCATTGAAAATTACAAAGGAAAATATTCCATCACCATTACTATTAGAATAGCGTTTCATTGCTTTTTTTTTTCTTCCTAATTTTTAGATAGTAAATAATCTTTTAGACTATAAAAAAATATTTTTTACCAACTTAGTTTGGGTTTATAATTCTTTCGATTAAAGAGAATTATTTTGTGTAAGTCCACTATTTTGTTCAGCCTATAAATAAAAAGTTTGAATAGTTTTCATTTTCAACCTGAAAAGTTTTATCCAACATGAAAAAAATAATAGATTTAATATTATTTTATGATGGATAATTAAGGCTGATGATAAAGAAAATTTATTTTAATAATTATCATAATTAATTTTATATCAAAATTGATTCCAACCAATTTATAAATGAGGGTTGAAAAAATAGCCTTTTTGGATAGTTTTGAATGGATTTTACAGAATCTTGACATTCTTTTTCACCTGAGTTTTTAGCTTAGTTTTTCTCTCTTTTTATATTTCTTCCTACTTTAAATCTAAATATCAGTATTTGTAAAGAGATATTTGAGTTAAATTGTCTTGTGTTTGTAAATCTTATTTAGGAATGTAATTAAATTAGATAGTATATGGAAATCATGTGAGGCTTATTGTTGAGATCCTAAGAGGTTTATTGCTTGATATTTTACTTGCATTAATAGATGAGCAATAAATCCGAACTTTGATAATAATAAATATTCAACCTAATGTTTCTAAGTACATGTACCATGCATTCATATGGTTTAAGTATGCATGTTAGAATTTTATTTTAATATCTCTTTTGTAAGATTTAATAAATGCTTATGGTGCATACCGATATTTAGTTTTGATATTAATTGCAAGTTTACATTAATAATGCATATTTCCATGACATAATATGTTCACGAGATAAATATTTAGACAACACTCGCTACACAATGATAATCATTCTTTTACAAGAAACCCCGACCATGTCAAAGATAAACAACAACTTTGCAGGGACAAGATGCTGAGTTGATGATGTTATCGACGTCTTTACTCTTAATACGGAACCAAGGCATGGTATCCTCTATGTTTAGATTAGAACTACATATTTGGAATGCCTATCACTCAACCATTTATCTAATTCTTTTTTTTAATTTAAAAACATGATAAAAGAAAAACGTTGTACTTGTAAGACATAAGACATGTTGACATTATGGTTCAATTATTTTTTAAAATATTTTTGAAAGTATTTCTTATTTATATTTTGAAATGTTTTTAATGATTTTAACATGAAGAT